TGTCAATGGTACAGCATGTGGGGTCTACTTTCTACTTACAATACGTGTTGATCAATATGTAGGCAAAACAGGATGTCTGAGAAATATAGTAAATTGCGATTCGTATGCCTTCAAATTCCATCAGAACCCTGAAAGGCTATGAAGTTATCGTCTGTCAGATATGTAAGATAAATTAAATTGCTTCCGATTGTGACGCACAGCAATAATTCACAACTATTCACAAGTTTTACTCCTGGGTCTTATATCGGTTCGACAAAAGTTTCCGGACTGTTCAACAGTTGAGTAATATTGATGTATCGAGGCCATATACGCTCTCTATTGAAGATAACACGAAGTTGTTTTTCAGTACCTGGTACTATATGGACGTACAGTGTAATGATAATATATCACGCATTAGTAAACCACACGCTGACAGCTAAAGATATTTTTCTGCATACTTTACCTATAGTGGAGCAAGAGAGTACAGCACTATGGGGTAGATGTATGTTGGGGAGTGTTGTATAGTATTTTTTGTATTTATATGCTTGCAGTTTCAATAATTATCTCGTAAATCATGAAGTATTTGGTTTATTTTCACTGGTTACCTATGTAGAAAACAGGTGTATCATATGGAGATAAATTTGAAACAAGAAACGAGCAAGATTGCATAATTTTGCCTCCTTTCTATGTCGTTTTAGTCTAGTTTTATTAGGGTGATCGTCCTATCAACAGCTAAGGTCGTTTAAGGACGTGACTCAGTGTACACATGTGTGTCGTGTATGCGTGCTAGAGGTAGGGTATGTTGGGGTATGTGTCTCCTGGTAGGAAGGAGAGAAAAACAATCTCAAATTTTGCGATTCCGGCAGCAGATCAATAGTTTATTAATGACCCCTTAACATTGTTCACAGAAGAATTTTTTTCCAGTGGGTCTCACATTAGTCGTTTGTAACGACATACAGTGGGGTAAACCAAGGCATGTGTCTTTCCTAGAACCCGAAGGGGTGTTTTATATCGGAAGTACCCTAGTATTAGTTATAACATACTACCGGGGCATCGTCACAAATTAAACAGTTTTCACAGCGAAAAGAGTTTGTTTTGTGTGCATAACATTTATAAATTTTGGAGGCATATATTTTATGTGTATACCATATGTATATATGCGAGGAAATTTATGTATGCAATATTAACGCGTATGAAAGATGTTGAGTACATTTAAGTACATAGAACGGTTTTTGCTTATTTTTTATTGGTATTAAATAGTAAAACACTATTCACTATACACATAAAACACGTACACATAAAACACGTACATATAAAAACACATACACATAAACACGTACACATGAAACACATACACATAAAACACGTACACATAAAAACACATACACATAAACACATACACATAAAACACGTACACATAAAAACACATACACATAAACACATACACATAAAACACGTACACATAAAAACACATACACAAAAACACATACACAAAAACACATACACATAAAACACGTACACATAAAAACACATACACATAAACACATACACATAAAACACGTACACATAAAAACACATACACATAAACACGTACACATAAAACACGTACATATAATACACCTACACATAAAACCCGTACACTTAAAACACGTACACATAAAAAAACGTACACATAAAACACGTACACATAAAACACGTACACATAAAACACGTGCACATAAAAACACATACACATAAAAACACATAAACATAAAACTTAAGGCATCTTTCCATTTTCGCTGTTATTGTCAATGTTTCGGGGTACTCAAGGCATCTTTCCAGTTTCGCTGTAATTGAACATGTTTCGGGGTACTTAAGGCATCTTTCCATTTTCGCTGTAATTGTACATGTTTCGCTGTTATTGAACATGTTTCGGGGTACTTAAGGCATCTTTCCAGTTTCGCTGTAATTGTACATGTTTCGGGGTACTTAAGGCATCTTTCCATTTTCGCTGTAATTGTACATGTTTCGCTGTAATTGTACATGTTTCGCTGTAATTGTACATGCTTCGCTGTAATTGTTCATGTTTTGGGGTACTTTAGACATCTTTTCCATTTTCGCTGTAATTGTACATGTTTCGCTGTAATTGTACATGTTTCGCTGTAACTGTACATGTTTCGGGGTACTTAAGGCATCTTTCCGTTTTGCTGTAATTGTACATGTTTCGGGGTACTTAAGGCATCTTTCCAGTTTCGCTGTAATTGTACATGTTTCGGGTTACTTAAGGCATCTTTCCATTTTTGCTATAAATGTACATGTTTCGCTTTAATTGTACATGTTTCGCTGTAATTGTATATGTTTCGCTGGAATTGAACATGTTTCGCTGTAATTGAACATGTTTCGGGGAACTTTAGACATCTTTCCAGTTTCGCTGTAATTGTACATGTTTCGCTGTAATTGTACATGTTTCGCTGTAATTGAACATGTTTCGGGGTACTTAAGACATCTTTCCAGTTTCGCTGTAATTGTACATGTTTCGCTGTAATTGTACATGTTTCGCTGTAATTGAACATGTTTCGGGGTACTTAAGGCATCTTTCCAGTTTCGCTGTAATTGTACATGTTTCGGGGTACTTAAGGCATCTTTCCAGTTTCGCTGTAATTGTACATGTTTCGCTGTAATTGTACATGTTTCGCTGTAATTGAACATGTTTCGGGGTACTTCAGGCATCTTTCCAGTTTCGCTGTAATTGTACATGTTTCGGGGTACTTAAGGCATCTTTCCTGTTTCGCTGTAATTGTACATGTTTCGGGGTACTTAAGGCATCTTTCCATTTTTGCTGTAATTGTACATGTTTCGCTGTAATTGTACATGTTTCGCTGTAATTGTACATGTTTCGCTGTAATTGAACATGTTTCGGGGTACTTCAGGCATCTTTCCAGTTTCGCTGTAATTGTACATGTTTCGGGGTACTTAAGGCATCTTTCCATTTTCGCTGTAATTGTACATGTTTCGCTGTATTTGTACGTGTTTCGCTGTAATTGTACATGTTTCGCTGTTATTGAACATGTTTCGGGGTACTTAAGGCATCTTTCCAGTTTCGCTGTAATTGAACATGTTTCGGGGTATTTAAGGCATCTTTCCATTTTCTCTGTAATTGAACATGTTTCGGGGTACTTAAGGCATCTTTCCATTTTCGCTGTAATTGTACATGTTTCGCTGTAATTGTACATGTTTCGCTGTTATTGAAAATGTTTCGGGGTACTTAAGGCATCTTTCCATTTTCGCTGTAATTGTACGTGTTTCGCTGTAATTGTACATGTTTCGGGGTACTTAAGGCATCTTTCCATTTTCGCTGTAATTGTACATGTTTCGCTGTAATTGTACATGTTTCGGGGTACTTAAGGCATCTTTCCATTTTCGCTGTTATTGTACATGTTTCGCTGTAATTGTACATGTTTCGCTGTAATTGTACATGTTTTGCTGTTATTGAAGATGTTTCGGAGTACTTAAGGCATCTTTCCATTTTCGCTGTAATTGTACATGTTTCGCTGTAATTGTACATGTTTCGGTGTAATTGTACATGTTTTGCTGTTATTGAAGATGTTTCGGGGTACTTAAGGCATCTTTCCATTTTCGCTGTAATTATACATGTTTAGCTGTAATGTACATGTTTCGCTGTAATTGTACATGTTTCGGGGTACTTAAGGCATCTTTCCATTTTCGCTGTTATTGTACATGTTTCGCTGTAATTGTACATGTTTCGTTGTAATTGTACATGTTTTGCTGTTATTGAAGATGTTTCGGGGTACTTAAGGCATCTTTCCATTTTCGCTGTAATTGTACATGTTTCGCTGTAATTGAACATGTTTCGGGGTACTTAAGGCATCTTTCCATTTTCGCTGTAATTGTACATGTTTCGCTGTAATTGTACATGTTTCGGGGTACTTAAGGCATCTTTCCATTTTCGCTGTAATTATACATGTTTCGCTGTAATGTACATGTTTCGCTGTAATTGTACATGTTTCGGGGTACTTTATGCATTTTTTTAAAAACACCTTGGTATTATTGATGAGTTCTTAATTGCCATATGTTGCAGTAACATAAATAGTTTGTTTGGCCTCTTGCGTCGACTAACTTCAATTTTAATTATGTCAATTCCCCCTTATTTTGTATTACTAGTAACTGTTTTACGAACCAAGGTGGTAACTGTGCTGATTGATCGAGAATGACCATACCCTTGTTTACATGAAATACGGGGTAATACTGTATTATCTGTTGTTACCAGTGTTGTCACACATACTTTACACTTATTTACCGTGCGGCAACTCTCCCTTGATTTATCATTGTTGAAGTCGTCACATGAATAGTGAAAAAATACCACCTTTAAGCCGTTACACGGAAGCAAAAGAAATCATTTAATGAATTCCTCAACATATGGGGGTACAACAAAGACAATAAAGATACAATGTTTGAATCGCAAGGACTCGGCCTCATAATGGTGTGCTGTTAATACAGAGAATTGTTTTGGAATGCACGCTCATACTTTAAAAAAAAACAAAATATTTCCTACTTCAAAACAAATCATAAATATGTTTACATCCTACTTACCTTCGTTATGACTCCACAGTCACGTGTCGTTTTTATGTTGACTGAAATACTGGTGTTTGTATTGATGTACATTTAAGTATTAACACGTTAAACGTGTTTGCTTCGTCAAAAGGTTGCCACAAAACCAGAGCTTACGAAAATGGTATAAGATACAATCTTGTATTATATTCATACAGATAATATTTCTTCTTCAAACATGATTTCAAACGCCGCTTATTAATGAGTCCAATCCCCCAAGTTTGTGAATCAAATATGATTATACATTGTAAATGTTTTGATGGAAGAATGCGAACACAGACGCGGATCTGATAGGTTTCAAGATAAACCCGGACATAAAAAGTCATTTTTTTCTTCTTATTTACTATGATGTACATTGCAACTATGTTGATATCAGCCTAGTCATCATTGACATGCCCGGGTGAACACCCGGGAGCACCACACCGTGACAGATATCACAAGGTGTGAGCCATACCAACCAAGTACCCCTTATACGAATACATAGAGCGGTAAAGACGGGATCTGGATAGTATCTCGATATTAATTCAGTTGTGCTTTGTCCAGAACTTATATCGAAACGATGGGTAAGTTTTCATTTTATGATAGATTATAATGTAATATACATTAAGTTATACATATATGTGATTCAACTTGCATTACAATGTGATATTAATTGAGTGTTATTTTATTTATTTCAAAACAATATACATTACGTGTTTTGATTTGTTTTACAATACAATATACATCAAGTGCTCATTCAATATGTATTTTATTAAAACATGAACTAGATGTTGTTCAACTTTCATTGCAATGAGAATATATATTAATTATTACCGTATCTTTTCAAAACATTATGCATTAAACGTGGTTTTAGGTTATATTAAATTGTAATAGTGTTTACTTAAAATTAGGAGTTATTTGTATAATAATTCCATATACATTTCAGTTTGTGGTGCAACGTAATAATCAATATATTACTCATTATTGTAATTAGTATTAAAAAGCAATATAACTTTAATGCCATTTAATGTGAATTCCAATGAACTTTTGAGTTTAAAATATTATGTAGAATACCGCTTACAGAATTGACAATGTCGTTAATGCGTGTTTGCGATCAGAATTATCTCAATATATAACGGTACATATTGACAAGTATACCATGATTACAGGGTTGCTTACATACAACCAGCGTTTGATCGACTTTTTCCAGTATGGTCATATCCGTTTCAGTTCTATCCTGGAACTTAACATGAATATTACTATTGCTGTTTTATATTTACTTTTGGGTATACTAGTTGATAACACATGACAAACATCGAACATTGTATGTACTTTTGTTCATAGTGCTCATTTATTGTCGAACTACTGTGTACTACTTTATGTGTAATGCATTTTGTTTATGTGCAACAATACTTGTATGCACCGTAGATATAAGCCTCATATATATATGGTGATATCTGAAATATTTTAAATTTGTTGACTGGAAAATCAAAGCACGTGTACGTGTTGATTCTTTGTGATGACAAATAAGTGAAGCTCTTTTGTTCGGAATTATATACAGTATATGTATAGTACTGTTTAATAACATAGAAGGTACTGTACAATCTCTGTTTCTTATTTTATCGTCCCATATTTATTTTAAGATATTAATTATGTTCCACACACTTTATACTGGTACATAATGTTTTGAATTTATGGTCTTGCATGTTGCTTCCTTAGCTATAAAAAAGTGCATGAGCTATGATATAACGAAACTAAATGGACAAAGGATATTACTATAACGCATAGCGTATGACCGTGAAAAAAACTATTATGAAAGAGGAGGATGAAGCGGAATGCGTTTCCCGAATTGTGTTTTAGGTTAGAGTTGTCCGCACTTTCCCTATAACTTCTCAGCTTATATATAGGAGGAGTTTTATTTAAAGTCAATAACAGCAGAGCAAACAAATCAATTTGTCAGTTTTCTGAGGCAATCCGTCTCTTTCAAAAAACAAAAGCTCTGAACCATTATAATAAGCAAAAAATACAAGAGATGCATTAATCACAGATCGCTTTTTAAATATAGCACTATTGTTTATACATAGCCATTCGACCGGCTGCTAACCTTACCATTCTTAAAGTTGCAGAATTAATTATCGGATACAAAATTTAGCCAGAAGTTGCGATGGTATTGAACAGACTTGTATAATATTGTTGGCTCTGTCGCTTTCACTTTATTGCTTATATAAAAGAAGTATTATACATATTTTAACGTTGTAGCGCTTTCCTCAATTCAACAACAGAACATGAGGAATGTATTGCTATTCGTTCGCTAAGACGGAGTCTGTGTCGTCTACGATATGTGCTGGGAAGGTTATCAATATTTGTTGACGTTTGATGAGCGAAGTTTTTATAACGTCGATTAATAAACAGAGATACCAACTCTATGCAAATTACAGACATGGTTTTATTGAGTGAGCTTAAATATTTTACCTTTTTTAGAAAACAAAGTGAACAAGATCATCAGAGGCATTTGCTTTTACCAGTACATACTTAAAAGGATACTATCATGACAATAAAAGTAACCTTCTATTTGGTTTAAGGTGTGAGTTGACAGCTACAATTATTATACAATGTTGAAGTACTCGTACTTGTCAGTCTTTCCATTTTAACCACTAGAATCCATAGCCTTTATATACGGACCATCGGTGCGTGGGTATTTTATAATCGCATGAAATATAAATGTTAAATATGTGCTTTGTAAAGACCATTCATTTAAAATAATTTACCTTTCAATCGAAATGTTTCTATGGAAATATTTCCCGACATTAGTAACGACAATAAATAATCCAATATATATATTGGATGTAATTATAAATATAATTATATACACATCATTTGTTAAATTTCAGCTTTCACATCAACAAACATATTAAATACCTAAATTAATATAAGTTTGGTGCAATATTTCTCGAAATGTGCACCAGGCGACCTTCACGCTGAGGTTCCTTATGTGGACATTTATATGAATGTCTCCTTTAGCTTCAATTTGTCTACACTACTTTGCCATAAACCATCCTAGGACTCGTAACAAGTCAACCATAATGGACTGTGTGAGAATCAGTTACCGTGTAATCAGGGGTGAGCTATTCATTACCTGCATTCTCGGCCAGAACACTATGTAGGTAGCGGTTTTAATAACATAGCTCTTTTAACATCTTCGGTGATTTCTTTGACAGTTTAAAGATGAAGGACGTTTTTGTGTCTGCGTTTCTGTATTTTACTCTGTTAAGATAATGTGTATATTGGGGGGTTGGGCGGGATTTTGGGGATCAAACCTAGCCGCCGTTTATATTAATGCTTAATGATATTGCTATAAATCAACAACATCATTTCCCCTGATTATTTGTGATTCATTGTTTTAGAGATTAAATAGATAAAGTGTATATTTTTCTTTTCTAATTGGATCGATGCTATTATTTCTTTTTGATTCATATATACATTATATTCATACAATGGCTCAATAATGTGTTCATTAAAGATATCTTAAGGAATTTCATCAATTCAGAAATACAGAAAAAATCATAAATGTAAGCTTGTGAAAGTTATCTACATCTTGGATGAATCTTGAAATTTACAAATAATATATCAATGTTTTTTGGGTTTTTTTCTCTCTCGAAAATTATGAAAAACGCAACGTTATCTATTAGCATGAAATAAATGTATCATGCGGCGACCAGAAGGCCATTATTGGTACATTGTACTTAGTATATCACATTAATTACTCGTTAAACATTACCATTGTTAGACCCAACCTCTGCAAATCATCCTTATTTGTGGGAAGTTTTAATTATACGTAAATCAACAGATAAGACATGATTACACAACAGGTCTGACGAGTCTATTATATTAGTTTTTTTACCTGCAATGTAAAGATGAAGAATTTGAATCAGATACATGTTAATTTGTATCAGAAAAAACACACAGACTAGGTATAATCTTTTTTGTTTTGCTCTTCATTCATAGTAAATAGAAAAAGTTAAAGTTAAATGTTATTTGACAGAGAAATTTTTAATTGTTAATCTTACTTTATCAATTTTTTAAAAATTATTTCAATAACAGATCCTTCTGCAGAAAATGTTTCTTATTTTCATGCATTCGAACAAATCTTACTCATAGTCAATCAATTCATTTTCTTTGTACGAACGAGTTTAGCAATAACCCAACCCATGGCCCAATGCTTCATGAGAATTTCGACTTTCGTTTATATCTTTGAAGACCAGTTATTAAGAAGATCCTTATAGACGTACGATTTCACACGGGGTCGAGAACGTCATCCCCATATGGATACATTATTACATACAAGGTCGTTAACGTTAATCATATGAATATGTTTCAATACTGAGTTTGAGGCAGATACATGTACATTGTATCTGTTTTTATGTGATACATAACTTTGTTACTTCTTTTGATGTTTAATATAACAATTGTCATTTAAGAACCGTAAAACGCTTTACATGTATGTGATGGGAAACATTTTGGGATTTATGGAAATTAATAATTAGACAATTGATATCAATTGCCGGTAAACAGCATTAATAGACATTCCTTGACATTACATTTACCTGTGTTCACATAAAAATGTTGGTAAATATGTATAAATATCAGAAGACATTAAATCTGTATAATAGATACAGAATCACAAAACTAGTGTTAAACTTTCTGCTGAAACATATAAAGAAAAAAGTTACTGTTGAAGTTTTATTTTTTGACAGAATGATAGCGTAGTCGGTAAAATAAAAAGATAAGGAGGACAAGCCATGTGAAGCAAACATTTGCAAATATTTATTTTTGAACTATTCTAACCATATAACTGGCTTTGTATGTCTGTCATGTTATCGGTTCTTTAATCATTTAATGTTGTAGACAATAATTTGCTGGTCCGTATTTAACATTTATACATATGAAATTGATGTCCAGCAAACCTTATAAACCAGGATTGTACCTTTTCCGTATCAAGTTGTTTCTATACCGTACGAGGCGATATCACTAAATCGACCAATTACTTAAATAAGCGCATTAAATACGCTCTGATTCGATGGTTTTTCCCGTTTTAAGTTACATTTCTTATTAATATAATTCTTTATTTGTTTCACTGGGATTACGAACAGCCCAAGGGCTACTAGTTGTTTTCCTCACATATAACAAACAAGTGAACGGTACAACATTTACATTATTAACATACAGTACAAAATACAGGAAATGCATGAACATTTACACTGGTCATTGGCACCACTTCATGACACATACACACCCACACACATACACACCCACACACATACACACCCGCACACAACACACAAACACACACACACATACAATCAGACAAATACACGGAGAACAATAAGAAGGAAGAAAGACAGAGACAGACAGAGATAGGGAAAGAGGGACAGAGAGAGGATGAGAGGGAAAGACAGACAGACAGGCAGATAGAGAAAGCGAGGAAAAGAGGGGAGGGGGAATAGACAGGCAGACAGACAGACAGACATAGAGTCTACTTGAATCTATTACTTCCCTCGATAAATTTAAAGACAGACTGAAAAAT